GCGCTCGATGTGCGCTGCAAATCCACGTGTTGCATAGCGGACATACACACCATTCAGGTCTGTTCAGATGATATTCTCGAGTACAGATCGCACATTGTACGTCAGAATTTAACTGAATGGGTGAGGGGAGCGGCAAGAAAACTGGAGCTGCAATGTAATGTCCTCGCCCGAACGCCATGAAGACAACTTCAGAAAGTGGCGGCGCTGCATCCTCGCCATGTCCTTCTCTGAGTCGACATCGAGAAACGCCCTCCCCGTTGAGGGATATCGCAAAATTGCGACTGTTCCAGCGGAGGTGAAAGGTGTTGAAAGCATTACACAGTGGGCCCTTTGCAGATAGTGTAGATAGTTGAGATAGTGAGTCTGTTTAAAGTGAGTTATAAGTCACTTAGGGAGGGTCTAAGTCGTTTCTATCTTTTTCTGGAGATACTATCATCGCTGAATGATAGGAAAAGATAAACGAGATAGAACAGACTTAGAAAAGATAGGTGCGGCAAAGTGCGGCAAAGAGGCATCGGCCGCCGGGAGATAAAAAAAAAGATAAAAATAATTAAAAAAAGATAAAAAAAGATAGTTTGAGTCGATTTTGGGATAAAATGGTCATATTGCATGTTTAGTTTAGGGCATCAAAGAATGTACGGTGTATACAGCTAACATGAAGCAAACCCGGAAAGATCCCTTGCTTAGGCCCACCCTTCTGCCCCAGAAGCAAGTCCGGAAAGAGCCCTTGCTCAGGCCCGCCCCCCGGCCCCAGAAGCAAGTCCGGCAAGATCCCTTGCTTAGGCTCCCCCTCTTCGCCCAGAAGCAAGTCTGGAAAGATCCCTTGCTTAGGACCGCCTTCGGCGCCAGAAGCAAGTCCGGCAAGATCCCTTGCTTAGGCCCCCCCTCCGGGCCCAGAAGCAAGTCCGGAAAGTAGATCCGTTGCTTCGGCCCCCTCCGGCCCCAAAAGCAAGCCCGGAAAGATCCCTTGCTTAGGCTCGTCCTTCGGCCCCAGAAGCAAGTCCGGAAAGATCCCTTGCTTATGGGCCCCCACTCCGGCCCCAGAAGCAAGTCCGGCAAGATCCCTTGCTTGGGCCCAGAAGCAAGTCCGGAAAGATCCCTTGCTTAGGCCCCCCTTCCGCGCCAGAAGCAAGTCCGGCAAGACCCCTTGCTCAGCTCCCCTTCCGGCCCCACAAGCCAATCCGGAAAGGTCCCTTGCTGAGGCTCCCCCAGTCAGGCCCCAGGCAGGCACTACCGCACACTGCCGGCCACTACCGCCCTGGAGCCCGTAAGCTTCGCAGAGGGCCTCAAGCACTACCACCCTTAAGCCCTGCAGCCCAAGCCCAGGCACTACTGCACACTACCGCACACTACCGCCCTGAGATGTCCCACAAATAGTGCAGGTAGCGGGCTGGCCTCCCTCACACTACGGGCTCCGTAGCCTCAAAAATGCATGTCGTAGCCTGCAGCTCAAGCCGAAGCCATCTTTGCTTGCCCGCGCCTCACGGACTTCCACCGTCTTTGCTCTCAGCATGGCCACAGCCAGCGCCCACTTCGAGGACAGCTTGCGGCAAGTCTTTCCTCCACTCACAGGCCCTCCCTCAACCCGCCCCCCCCCCCCACCCTTATCGAACAAACCCATATAATGGCGGGCGACAGTTGTTGGGATCAGGGTATGTTTCGCGGGTATGTTTTGGGGTATCGGGGTATGTTTCGGGGGTATGCTTCGGGTATGTCTCGTGGCATCATGAGCTACTTTACCTTCAATTTCGGGCGTATGTTACGGGGCATGTATCGGGGGTATGTTTCGGGGCATGTTTGGCGGGTGTGCAACCCGTGTGCCCTGCTTAAACCTGGGCCCCCAAAAAACTCACAAAGCCACATAGGGCTTCCTGTCTCCCTTCTCCTGTGCCAGCAGCCCAAACGTGAAACGAGCAGAAGCCTTTCCAGCTGGACGCGGGTGATTTTTCTACAAAGAATCTACATCTGAGCTAGTATGGAATTCTCGCCGTTTTGCTTCAAAAACAGATAGCAAAAAATAAAAGAAAATAAAAAAAGATAGAAAAAATAAAAAAGAATATAAAAAAACAAAATGGACTTAGCCTATCTCCGTTTTATCTTTTTTTATCTCCCCTATCTCTTTCTTTCTCAACTATCTCAAAGGGCCCACTGTGTAGGCAGCGGCGCATGACGCCTCGCGGATACATGAGGCATGACGGGGTGCTGGTTAATGCCCATTGACCACATTATTGTGTCCTGGAACACATTGTCTACTCTGCAGTACGATCGCCGTTCACCTCCAAACTCTCTCACACCCACGTATAGTCCGCGCACATCTTCTGGCAAGAAAACATGGAACTCCGCGCAGCCCATCAGAGGTCCTGTGGAAATGCAACCGAACTTAAAGCTGTTGACTGCTTGAGGAGGCAATGCTGCTACGTTCCAGCACAGCTTCACGCTCTCTGGGATGTTGATGAACATTGCCAGCTGATGAAGATTCACGGAAATGCTACGAGCCATACCAGCCAAACGTGCGAGAAGTCGAAATCTTTCCGTCACCAAGAGATCGGGTTGATTGTCCAGATTTACATCTCTACCGTTCCAATGACACTTCTGACGCGCAGCTCTTAGCATGGCAGTTGACGTCACTGCCAAAGCGTGTAAATACTTGAAATCACAAAAGTAAGGGGCCAGTGTACTCAAGATTTCCAATGGGAGTGTTGTGTTAGCGCTAGACACTCCGCCGCGAGGTTTGCTATCAGCTCCTGCAAGATAGTCTCTTCCGTAGAAGTTTCTTGTCGCCCTCTCAAGCACTGGAACTATTGATGTCCTTGCTGGAAGAGGCTTGGGTTGATAGAGGCTCGCAGTCTGAAAGATTGTAACCGACACAGCTTCAGAGCCGCCCAAGTAATCTCTCTGCATATCCTGATCTCCAACTTCGCAGACATCGCTTTGCAGGCCTTGCGCCCGCTGAAAACCTGGATACTCACTGTAGGATTCTTGCCAGGTTGGCAGACCTGTTATGGATCCCGGCAGCAACTCAAATCGCGTTGCCTCGTGCCCGTAAGCATATTTGATGCTGAGATATAGCTCCAGAAGGACAGGATGAACGCATAACGGCACCTCGATGTCGCGCTCCACATACATGTCATTGAAAGTGAGCTTCACTTTCACCCGATGAAGCACTGTGGCGCACGAGTTGCTGCACTCCAAGCCCAAGCGACCTGCGTGAACTACTGCTCGATAACTCGTAGCTGCGAACACCCGTAGCGGCTTGCCGCACACAGTGCAAAGATTTCGTCTGTTTGTATTGCGAACGATCAATTCCACACCATGGCAGTGATACCATCTTGCAAAGTCTTCTTCGGAGCGAGGCCACGCGGGTCTCATGCCGTTTGTTAGCGGCAAGAACACTTGGCCAGCAGCATCTACTCTTCGTAATCTCGCAACGCATCGCGGTGGCAGCCAACACAAGTCATCACTCTCTGTGAAGCAGTAGCCATTTACATCGAGCTGGAAGATCATGCCTCTCGGCTTCAGTAGCCCATACATAATGTCTAAGTACGACCATAAGCCGTCCCAGCTCGGTCGTGGCAGAAATGGAAGTACAACCGCTTTGTCGAGCTCTTCATCGCCGATCCGGAGTAAACAATAAGTTGTTTCAAGTCGAGAAGATGGAAATCGCGGCACTGCCATAAACATAAGAGTTCTGATACCTTCCACTGGAATCACTGTAATAATTTCTATGTTTCTATTCGCGTTTTCGAAGGCTGCTAGAATTGTGTCGAGTGGAACTTCGCCTGGTCGAATTCGCAAGTTAGCTGCAAAGCGTTCACCGAAGTAATAAATTCTCGCATCTCGAGCGTGTGTAATTGGAGCATGGATGACTGGCAGCTCTTCATACTGTGGCAGTAGCGTAGAAGATCCACCGAGATAATCAGTCGAAGGACGTCTTGGCATTCCTGACATTGGCACATAGCTTTGGGTCGCGCACTCGCTTGCCAGTTTGGGTCTTCCTGAGCTCTGTGAAGAGATTGCGGCATCGACCAGCAAGATGCTTTGTCTGATTTCGTAGATGCCTTTTTCCCACTTTCTTTTGGAGATTCTGGTATCAACCGGAGACGGCATCAAGTCCTTGTTGCCGACACTCCAGTACCGGTTGATCCTGCTGGCAAGAGACGCCCAAAGGCGCAGCCTCTTGATTGCACGATCGACGTCTGAAATTGATGTCGGATTTCTGCGCTGAGCAAGGAAGCTTTCATTTCTCACGAAGGGTGTTATCTTGCCCGCCTCGTACTCCACACTATCAATGTAGTGAGTCCACGTTCGACTGTCTGTCGTTGTTAGGAAAGGATCAGGCATCTTTTCCCACAGAGAAGCATCCGTCACCATTTCTGGTACATTGCGCAATGCAATTCTCAATATCGCTTGAATTCTGCGTTCTGTGATCAAACGGGAGATAGCAAGCTCCAGGTCTTGCATGATGGCAGAGTTCTCAGCACCGCCCAAGAAATCTCTAGATGCTGCTGCAGTAGGGCGACCCCATCGACGAGCTGGAACTTGCGTGACGCTTGACCTGAGAAGTACATGTAGATCCAATGTGATTATATTATCACAATCATGACGCACACAAACATACTCCATATCTTTTCCTAGATGCAGGTGCAAGTTTTCAGAGCTGTAACTTTCTCGTCGCGACCACCTGTCAGGGACTAGCATGTAAGACAAACTTTTGTGATACGTATGTTGCTTGTACAGATGTTGCATAAGAAGCCTTCGTCGGCTCACGCCATCAAGGCTCATTGTCGCAGCAGCAGATACTTCCATGGGCGACCTCGGAATGTGAGTGCGCTGTCTAACTCTTCACAAGATGTCGATGAAGAAAATACGCAGTAATGTGTTCGAAGAGTCGGTGTCCGATTAGTAGGGGTCATGCATTTCTTGAAATTGTCAGTATGAGCTGATGACCTTTAACAGGAAAATCTTGTTAGACATATCAAAAAAAAGCGGATCATGCTGAGTCACTTAGGCCCGACAGGCCTCGTGTCAGGGGAAGGCACCGCAGCCAAGATCTGGTGGTACTCGTGAAATAGAGTCCACGACTCAGAGAAGCTATCCGACCAGAAGGCGGTCTTCCAGGTTGGGCAGTAAACCATGCCGCCGGGGTAGCCTCTTCGAAAGCCGAGTTTGTGAAGAATCGGATGCTGGGGATGTAGCTCCCACGCATCTGGGCGTGACTCTGCAAGATTACATGGTGCAGCCGGTTGGTCACCACGCGGTGCAGCATCTTGCTTCCTGCGCACCACTGCCCAATCGTCTTCACTGACTCTCCATTCCAGATGCGGACCAAGCCGGAATGTCGTGAAATCATCTGGAATTTTATAGGAGGCCATTCGCGCCTGAGAAAGCACGCTACACACAAGCGAAACCTGTTGTCGACACGTCTTACATTGTTAGCCAGAACCAGACGTCTACTCTCGGTCTTGAAAATCTCAGACATCGCCTGTTCAGTCGAACATGTAGATGTTCCTGACCATGTAGAAGTATGTGAGCAAACCTGACTAAACAAGATCATCGATGTTGTCTGTGTCGAGACATGCATTAATTGTGTTTAAGTAAATTACTCACGTACGGCCGAAGTCTTTGTGCCAGCCTTGCGGTTTGCTGTAGCGTGTGCCTTTGAAGCTCCTTGAGTCGCCGAAGACACCTGGCTAACCATATGCACGCGCAGGACTAATTTAAGCAGGATTTAACGATATTAAGCCTTGTCTTTTAGGCGTGGTGACGCTGATGATAGCGTAGAAGAAGAGCTTGCAGAGGCCTCGGAAACAAACATGTTCATACAGTTAAACAGTTAGCGTTGCAGTACAGTATTCACTATGCAAGTTACGGCTTCACCACATAACGAATCAGTGCATCCACCTTCGGAACATCGCTTGCTTGGGACGATCCGAAGTAAGCCTGATCACTGTGGTTTGTTGATTACAACATACAGGCTTGGGCAACCACAGATCCTTGCGCGCCGCCTCGGTCATTCCAGGAATTGCAAAAACATCTCTAAGAGTCCATGTCTTTGGACGCGACATCAAGTCGTCTCGCATCATGTCCTTCATCCATTGCCTTGCAAACCAGACTGGAGTAGAACATGTTATTAAATCTTAGTTGCTCAGCATAGGTGTACTTCGTTGTTTAACAATCCAGTGCGTCTGGTGTCTCAAAGCCAGATCCAAGAAAGTCGGTCATGCACTCGCCGGACTCATTCTCGGAGATGTCCTGGCACGTCATAACTCTTGATTAATATGTTGCTAGAAATGTCTTGCGAAGGTAGACCTGAATGCGATAGACGATGTCGGCTTTGCTGGTGTTGAAGTAGACGACTTTCGTCAATGGACATATCTGCAACGCCACCTACACAAGGTCAAGTCGAAGTGTGATCGTGCACAAACGCAGCACCCACAAGCCTCCAACGACTCCAAGGGAAATGCTCGTCGCCAGGTATGACGACGCTTGCCGAGATTGATAGCGTAACCGTCTTCGTCGCAGCGCATGGGCACGAAATGATCTCGAGCACCTATGATATAGTCGCCGTGTTCCGATATATCTTTGGATGTCAGCTCCACTAACTCCTTCCTTATTTATGCAGACAGTTGTCCCAAGGCTGCAAGTGCAATGGTCACATGATTGACGGACAAGGATCGCAGAAGGGAACAGAAGTTCGTTTCCCTCGGAAGCCCAAAAGGGACCGTCCCGACTGTAGGTGACCTTGAAGCCGTGAGCTCTGAAAGCGTCAAGCAGGCACGTGTCGACGAACTTGCCTGTGCCTGCGTGTCCGAATACAACTCACGCGCGTATACTACTCTAACATATTGCGATCCGACGCAGTGTTATTAAAAAAAAAAAAAAAAGGCGCGGCCTGCATGCTTGGACCAGAGATGTGTACAGCAAGGCGGTAAAGATGCGTTGTCGTCGGCTGAAATCAAGAATGGATAGTCTCGTGCGTAAGTCATATTGGCGCCAATAGCCTGCAAGGTCTGAAGCAAGTCGCGATGACCTGAGCATGCGATGTGTTCACACACACACGACTGTCTATTAAGCGCAATGTCTTGCACTGTAGAGCTATAAGCACAGCGCATGCACTCGTAACTTATCATGTCTTTGTAAGCAAGTATAATTTCAAGACACCGGTGGAGCCAGACGATTTCCTTTTGCTTTGGACGCGGCATACCGTCCGAAAGTTTCGACCTTTGCAAAACTTTATCAGCTAACAACGTGATGAGCAAAGTGAATTCAAGATGCTTGACGATAACATGCGCGCCTCGTCGACCGAAGCCTCTGTACCAAGCAGGTCGTGAGATCGCGTTCCATACAATATCCTTCCATGATAATGATAGAAATTAAAGCAGTTGTCGTTGAGGCAAGTCCTGCGTCGCCACGTCACGATCGGCACTTCGACGAAGTCTGCGAAACAAGTTCTTCGCGATCTTGTCACCTGGTAATTGAGAGTGAAGAGAGTTGTGCTGTTTGTAGCGTGAGTAAAATTATAGACGAATTGCAGATACGGTTGAGCGCCACATCGTTGCCGAGGATATCGTTGTGAAAGAGCTGCTTCTTGCAGAATCCAATGGATGCCCCTTAAAATGAAAGATGATGTGACAAGAACAAATCCTTCATAACATGCTGAACTGCTTAAGACTGGAGGCAGCTGTGATGCTGCCTCGACAAATTGGATATGTCTGCCTGTATGAGCGGCATGTCGGTAAACCTGCACCGTAGACAGAGACTGAATAGCACTATATGCACTTGCTTGTGCGCAATCACAGTCTTAAATTCAGGCGCTAACGCTAGTGAGGCCGCCAACCTGCAGAATTTCAAGGCACGTTTGTTTAGTAAGGCTTCATTAAGCCTGGTGAGTACAGCAAAGCTGAGTGCAGTGCTCAACCTGGAGCAGTGTCTCCATGTGTGTCGATGGTCTCCCAGTCTCCTGGATTGCTTAGGATTGAATGCAGGTGTCTAGCCTCTTCTACATCAAACTGAATATCTTTTGCCTGTATGAGCGGCATCTCGGTAAACCTGTTCTGCAGATTGAGAACGAACTGGATAACGTATAGAATCGCTTGCGTGCGTCTGTAGTCTCAAACTCAGGGACTGACTCAGGTGAAGTAGCCGACCTGCTGATTCTCGCTGTCACTCAAAAATGTTTCATTGTGCTTGGTGATTACATCAGGACTTAGTGTGGCACTCAGTCCAGGGCAGCTTGGATTGTCAGCTACTTCATTGAAATGAATACTTCACGAGCAATCTGGAGCATCTTGGATTGTCAGCTACCGTATTACAATGAATACTTCACGAGGCTTGCGCTTCTTTTCCAGCAGTGAAGTGACGCAGTCGCATGGCCTCAGCAGTGTACTTGATTGTGTTTTCCATAATAACGCAGCAGTGGACAATGCGTCTCGATAAATCTGTTCTGCAGATTGTTGACGAACTGGATAACGTATAGACTCGCTTGCGTGCGTCTGTAGTCTCATACTCGGGCACCGACTCAGGTGAAGCCGCTGACCTGCTGATTCTCGCTGTCACTCAAAAATATGTCATTGTGCTTGGTGATTACATCAGAACTTAGTGTGGCACTCAACCTGGAGCAGCTTAGCTACTGCACTGAAATGAATACTTCATGAAGCTCACCCGGTGTATCGGCAGACACTGTACAGCACCTGCTTCCGTGCTCATTACATAACCTTAAGCTTGCCACGTCTCAATATATTAATGTTGCTCGTGCACTAACGTCTGTACATCTTTTTTTTCGATGGACAGCAACAGCTGGCAATAACACAAGCATATACTTCTAAACAGGTCAAGCGACTCGCCATCAGTGATGAACTTCGTCTGCATGTCAGTCAGATCAACGGGCCTATTATCTGCATCAGGACACTATAACTTTATAACACATATACTTTTTTATAGTTGATGAGGTTGTATTTATATTGTCTGTGTGCTGACATGTACAAGCAGAGAAAGGCTAAGAGTGCAGCTTGATATCCTCAGTCCTTAGTGTTTAATTAATAGATCCCGACGTAGAGTCGTTTACAAGCGCTGGATTCTGAGTTTCCGGCAAAGTTGCTGGTGTTGCAATATCATCGTGAGTGTGATGTGTCCTGGCGACAAAAACACCTGTTCGTTCAAGTATTCCAACCTGCACACGTACAGATATGACATAAGCATGACATCAGGAAGTCTCCTGGACCAGCGGCCCTGCGCGTTCATGTACCCTGAGACGGCGAAAGTTTTATTACATCGCTTGACATGATTATGGCTTTGATGCCACAAGTTTCGGACAAGTGGACGTTCGGCGGTTGCGCTTGGCAAACTGATTCCTCAGTGTACAAGGAGCCGCTCATCGCAGTCTACAAAAAAAGGAACACGAATAAGTCAAGCAGCACAGTCTCGTCGACTTGGTCGTTCGAGTCGCATGGCGTCGGCGCCATCGACCTCTGTTAATTCTCTTCGTAGCTACACCCTATAAGACTTCTTGCGACGTATTCTCACATGGAACAGCTAAACGCTCGGTTCTGTGCGATTTCAAAAACTCAGCAGGCGTCATCACGACAGCGTCCGATTTCCTGACAGCTATACAAATCTTTTCTGAGTTCAGCACATATGTGTTTCGAGCCCCGCACAGATCGTCTCGCCATCGCGGCACACGCACCATTCGACCTGGCTGACAAGATCGTTTAATCTTGCATATAAGTGATTAAATCTATGCGTTGTCGTGCCAAGAAGCAGTTCCGTGATGACTGTGTCTTCGCCGATTGAGCATCGGCGTCGAACCTATGTTGTATTGATTCTGTTTCTTAATTGTTGACTTAATTAACATATTAAATTTTTAAAGTCATAATTTGTTGTCAGCAAGCACAGAATCATCATCCAAAAGCCATGGCATTCTGGACCAGCGCATCACGATAGACCTAAGTCATCATTTAACTGTGGCTTTTTAAATGTAGTACATTGTCTGAACGTCCAAGCGCTCAGCAGTTTGCGTTGCAATCAAGGCACGGACGACACTGATTCACCGAATGCGAGAGCCTTAGTTTTTCTTGACGCACATATGTTTCACAAGCGTCCACATATGAGCTTATTTAATGCGACAAAGGCGCACGAAGATTTCGTGATTTGGCACAAGCCACTTGAGCTCAAACGCGACGGATTGTCGTCAGTCATGATAAACAGCTATGCAAGCGCAAAGCCACGATTTTGTTCCGGCGGAACCAGGAAAATTTAAAATGGAATGTTCAAACAATGCACTGCAAATAGGTGCTTTCGGCAGGCTGCGTCTTTGGCTGAAAGATATATGGGTAGTGCACAACTTCAAGACTTTATCTTTTTATTTATTACACGA